CATTATGTGGTGAACGATGATCCTCGCGGGGCAACCCCGTGAAGAGCCTAAGCGAAATCAACCAAGATCGACAACTCCTGCTGCTTCTTCAAAATCGGACTGCTTTTTAAGATTGCGTTAATTGTTGTGTATTGCAGGTGCGAAGGTTGTTCTATTAGACTTTATCAGCACAGGTTTTGATGACGATGGCAATTCCAACTTTATTGACAAGTAATAGATCTCATGATCTTGATATAGCGCGTGTTTCATTGTCGTCTTTACTGGGTCTTTCTAACATAACGCGAGAAATAAAACACGAAGCTTTCGGCAAAACTCTTCAGCACACAAGAGCTTGGACGTCTTAGCCATCTCTCTTCGAGCAAATGCAACAAGGACTCTTTTATGGGGTCTCGACGGGCAGACCCATCTTCTGGAAGCTGTTCACACGACAAATTGTTAGAATCGTTTCTATCATGCGGACGTGTGCATCTTCCAGTAACGTACGCTTTCGCCTGCTGAGCGTAGATCTGCTCCACTTGGTGCCGGAACTGCTCGCTTTCGGTGTGGTACTTCTGCAAAGCAGCCGTTAAAATCTGTAATGAACAATGGATCACACAGTAGATGCACGTCAGTCAACCACGGTGCAGCTCGAACTGTCGGAAAAGAAAAGCTGTGCTTACCTCCTGCGATATGCCCTGGGTCTTCATCTGAGTCTGTGTCATCTGCTCCACGTGCTCCATGTACAAGTACTGGAATTCCTCCATAGCCTTTTGCACATCGGTGATGCCCTCCGCCCGAGCGTGCGCAAGCATGTCTGCCATGGCCTTCTCCATGCCTCTCACCATTTCCTTCAAAATCACCAGTGTCTTGTCGGCAGTGAGATCCTCAGGAACCTCCACGGGCTCCGGAGCAGGGAACACACTGAGCGGGAAGAACAGCCAAGTAGCGGGTAGTGAGAATCCTATTAGTGTTTCGAAATCTGCAACGCCCGAGCACTCCACACAGAATAGGTGTAAACTTACGATCGCATGATGGTGTTCAGGTTGTCCTGGAGCTTGAGTACCTCCGGGTCCTGTGCGTACTTCTCAAGTGCAAACTCGAGGCTCTGACGGCTCCACAGGCGCTTGGCAACGATCTGTTGCTCGATGCCTTCCATCATCTGATACAGCTGCGACAGAATAGCTTGCTTAAATTCGGCGTCACTCAGCTCGTGGTTGTTGTCCTTCAGGTACTTGCGTACAGCGTTCTCAATCTCCGGTAATTGTTTCTGTCAATTACGAGGCATAAAATAAGTGTAAGTACTCGATCAATACCACTTAAGAGCAGACACAGCACGCGTACGAAGAGGTCCTTGACAGCAGCCGTGAGTTCCGTGAAGAAGAGCGCGATCTCTGCTTGCGGGATCTCCTGGAAGGCCGGTGGCTCCACCGTACTAGACGACGACGCGTCCCACCACATCTTACCCACGCCAATCAAGGCACCCGCGATGGCGATGCCGGCCACGATACCCGTTGGGTCCGCTTTCATGTGTTGCGGCTGGGCAACGAGTGGCGCAGCATTGACACAGGCTTGCTGCACCAGAGCACGTGGAGCGCAGGAAAAGGAGGAGGAAGCAGATACAGTTGCACGTCGGGTGGAAGTGTTCCTAGCCGACTGGCGAAGGTGCTGAACAGCGTGGCGCATTGATCCGAATACCATGATAGCAAAGTAGTGCTTGTCAAGCACTCCTGTGGTTCGCAATTGCGTCACATTGTGGCTACGCAATAATGTGTTTGGCACACACACTGAAGCATGAAGTGAAATATAATACAGTCGCACCTCCAATTTGGCACCGGTATCAGTCGATACCCTGCCAGATTTTATGATCACGCAAATCGGATGCGCAATTAAGGGAAAATGCCAATTAGGGGCCGGTGACCAGTTAAGGGCCGGATTCGGTTAGCCAATAGGCAATTCGGAATTTCAGGCTTATCTATTTTCATTGGCCACTACTAAGGTATCATATAAGAGATTACTTAGCAACCCATAGTGAAATCAAGCGGCCCTTAATTGGCATGGCCGTCACACTTTATGCACTGTTTTAATTTGTCCTACTGAACGCACCATAGCTGATGTAAAACAATTCAATAGCCAGGGAAATATACAATTGTGTCAGCTTTTGATTGATGCCAAGGCCATATTTTGCTTTTTACTAGATCAAAAGATACAATCAAAACAAGAGAAGGTTGCTTTGAACGGCCCTTAATTGGCATTTTCCCTTACCTTTGCCCATCACCACCCTAGCAATTAACCTCGACGGTTTCCCCTCCTCGCGGAGGGATGACACGCCGCATCGATCTGATTTTAAATTTTGGATCGGACGTCTTCATACAAACACACACTTTGATTTTTACCGCCAAAGACAATGGGACATCGCCCTTCCTCCTACATGTCCATAACTCTAGCACAATAGCAGTCTTTGTGAGAAGCACAAGTCAGATCCTGCATGCTCTCACTCCGAACTTGCTCGTTGGGCAACGGAGCGCTTTAAGACCCCCCAAGCAGTAAAGCGCACTACCGTCCAGAGTATTCTAAAGCGGTCGGCGGAAGTTGCCGCCTTGCCGGATGCCTATCGCGACCGGAAGCGCTGTTGAGCGCCGGCGATTCGCGCGTCAGACGCCAAGATTATGCAGAAGATTGAAGTAAATTTTGTACTGAATTAACAAAACAAATATCATTGCACTGGATTTGCGTTTGGTTTTTGCTTTACGTTGTGCACTTATGCCCTGGCACTGTTGATATGGTCCGCCCTGCCGAATTGGAGGTGCACGACTGTATTGAGACCTTTCGCAACCTGTTTTTTGTTGAGTTTCAGTCTTCTTTTGATTTTCTAGGGTGAGCCCTCTCAAATACGATACTCAAACGGAATTGCTTTTGAGCTAACTGGCCGGTTTGCTCAACTCGGATTTGAGCTCACTTTCGTCTTCACAGCTAGCACCATCCAACCTCGTCAATGGTCTTCATAGCACCGAAGCTCACAGCGGAGCAAGCACTTGTCATCATTAGCTGTTTGTTGCTTGCTGCACGGGGTAATCGGAAGCGCTTCCTGCGCACAATGCACTTCCTCATCGCCAGTCATTGCTTCCGTCTTCGAGACCCACCTCCTCGGATCAACACAAGCAACCACTTCGACCCCTCCATGGACGACGCGACGGCACGGACACGCTTCAATTTTACGCTGCCTCAGCTACGATTGCTAGCGACCAAAATGCATTTACCGAAACCAGTCATTATTACCCCAGAGCGTGACGCTGTCCCGACCGTTGAAGCGCTTGCTATGCTGTGCAGAAGGCTGAAGGAGCCATCGATGCTGTATACAGTAGCTAATGAGCTCGGCAGATCACCTGGGGCGCACACGCGCGTCTGTCGCCACTTAGCGGATACGTTGTACAACAAATACAAGGCTCTCCTGTATTTCAACCATGGTAATGTTGCAGCCCGTATTGAGAGGTATTGTGACGCAATTAGAGCCAAGGGCTCCCCGTTAGCACGTTGCTGGGGTTTTGTGGATGGAACTAAGGAGTATGTATCCAGACCAAGCGCTCGTAGGAATCCGACGTCACCATACGAGAACCTACAAAGATCTCTGTATAATGGTCATCCGAGACGCCACTGCTTCAACTGGCAAGCTGTTACAGCTCCAGATGGAAAAATTGTCAGCATATTCGGTCCCGTGGAAGGCGGGCGGCATGATTCGACGATGTTAAGCATGAGTGGTATTTTGGATGTCTTTAAAAATGATGAATCCATGTTTTTCAATGAAAAAGTAATTTACGGAGATCCGGCGTATGGCTGCAGCCAGTACGTTTGCTGTCCATTCGAAAATCCTGGATCAAATGGAGCTATGAA